GAAGAAAGTCACGATGAGCACAGTCTCCATTGGGAGGGGATCCCTATCAACGACCCCATCGACAAGACGGCCCTTCGGCTGTCAAAGCCCCTGACATAGACCGAAAGGTCCCACACAACCAGGAGAGTAAGGCTGGTAAAGCCCCCGTAGCACGCCGAAAGGTCTCGCCGGGGGGCGGGGGGGGTTGATACAGTGTAGTACAGACGACGTGTCACTCTCAGAGGAGCAGTCAGTGGAGAAGGGGGACTCCGTTGAGGACGAGAGCTCCGAGTCGGAGGAGAACTTCGAGGAGAAGAAGGCGGCGGACTGGAGGGGGGAGGAGGAGGACGAGGACGAGGACGAGGAGGAGGACGAGGAGGACGAGGAGGGGGGGCGGGGGGGGAGGAGGAGGAGGGAGGGCGACGGCGCTCGACGGGAAGTCGCTCGAAGAAACGGCGGTTTAGGTTTGTTGAGGGAAGGTGGAGGGGCTTGGGGGAGTGAATGTGTACAATGCACGGCAAATCAATTTCATTGATTGGTGTACGGCGTTGCACGTGGCGAAGGTGATGCCACCGCCGTAGGCTCATCGACAGCCCCTCTCCGGAATGTTGCCGGCTTGAGTAATATGCTTGGATTGATGGCGTTTCGACGCATGACATTTACAGTATGTGTCCTATGTATGGTTCTGATGTGTCAATTGTTTGTGTTACTTCCAGGGGTTTACTCGGTAACGTTTTTTTAGGGGGACAGGTTTTCGGCGGTAATGCCATTTGGCGGTATTTGTTTTGGCGGTAGGCGGTAATGCGTTTTCCGGCGGTAACGACTTTGGTGGAGGCGGTAAAACAAACAAACGGTGGTAATTTTTCGGCGGTAACGCCATACACGGCGGTAATGTTTTCGTGGTAGGCGGTCACGCGTTTTTCGGCGGTAACGACTTTGGCGGAGGCGGTAAAACCAAAAAACGGCGGTAAAACGGCGGATTACCGGGACCGCCCACCACGGCGGTATTACCGAGTAAACCCTTGGTTATTTCGCCATATTCGCCCAAGGTCAAATGTCGCGGACTTGTCGCAGAAGCATTAGGAAGTTTTGAGTTAGATTTGCTTGGGGGGTCGTCCCCAAGCACTGCACTTCAAGACTTGAAAACCAACCAGAAGTGCCCCCAGCCCATCACAGCTATCATACGAAGTAGCAATCTTCTTCCGGCGCCGGATGTACACACGTTAATAATCTCAAGTTAAATCTCCAACTACTTACTCATGAAGTACCTGGTAACTCCTTTGTGCTCGTGTGCGTGCCGTAAACTCCAGCACACACAAACAACAAGAACACGCAACGGAGAGGGAGAAAGCCAACAAAGCTGATATAAAAATGTACCACGCCAATAATAAAATCTCGTACCCCTCCCGTGGGGGGAGGGGGGGGGTTGGGTAGGTGTGCGGGAAAATTGTTTTTGTGCGCCCTTGCTACATATTACATTGTACATCGGTGGAAGGCACACCGCGGTACCAATGAACAACTGTTCAGCACACACAACACGTCAATGAAACGTTTGATTGTGACATTGTGGCTGGTCGCATCAACCGCTGCACACACACTCATGTCTGGGCATCTTTACATCCAAATGGCATCCGCTTTTTCCCTCTTTACACTTTTACCTCCATTGACTGATACTTCGAAGTGATACACACTTTTCACTTGGCTCCAATCAATAATGTCCATGTTTTCCTTCCACGTTCTCTTCACTCCCCTATCCACCTTCGGCTCGCGATTCGGGTCCCGCAGCCCACTGGGGGCGGCGAGGCCCTTCAATGCCCTACATGTAGTCTAGTAATACATTTTCCTTTGCAACAAGATGTTGTTGCTGGCGGAGGTGGTACCTCAGGCACCCTCCGTCGACTGGAGACGAAAAAATTACACAGAGGGCTACTAGATCTGCTAAACAAATTCAGCCACATGTCAAACTCGTACCGGTATACGCCTGTGGTGTTCCTACTTCATGTGCAGAAAAAGGTGCAACACAAACAAGAATATTTCGACACTGAACAGGCCGACGGTGTGAAAGCAAGTGCATATAGAAGCTGGTGCTGCTACAGTAGTAGTGTTGTGCGCAAGAGGGCACTCGGACATTGGGCGCAAGTGACTCGCGAATCCCTCCCTTTGTCGCAGCAAGCACGTTCGATCAAAATGTTAACAACACGGTGTGCGCTTCCAAACTCAGGCAAGCACGTCGCAATGGAAGCAAAGGCCTCCTTGGCTCCTACTCTCAAGAAACAATAACTACGACAACAAACGATTAATATAGAACTTAAGAGGGTAGCGATGTTAGAAGCCACAGACAACTTGTTCACAACAACGCGGTCAACCCCCACGACCCGCATAATCTAGCAAGCAACAAGTCTCCGGAGTAGGCCATACCACTCTTTATACGAAGGTAGGAAAAAAACAGTTGATACTCTCAACCAGTGGATCTTGACTAGGATACCCATACTGATCACCTGGAACTCAACTAACTACATCACCGGCATGGAGCCAACATGGAGAGACGCATTTTGCGCACGAACAGCACGCCTGGGTCACTACCGCTCACGTGCAATGACCTGGTAACGCTATCACCACCGCCGTATCTTTTGAAACAACCAACAGAAGCATGAGAAGATGCGAGACACAAACGTCAGGTGTCAAACACACAGGACAAGACGGTGAAAAAAACGGGCGTGCTCGCTTGCTAATAATTCAGATACACGGATTAAAAACTTTTCGTATGTAGATGACTCTACATAGAACTCCTGCCGGCTAGACACAATAAAACTCCGAAAACAGCAGCAGCAGCAGCAGTGCTCACTGACTGCTTCTCTGAAGTAGCCAGCCAGCCCGGGCAAGCCGAAGACACATTCCCCCACACGGCGTTTCGCGGGTTGCTAGACGGAGGTATGCGTGCGGTCGATCCGTCCAAAAGTCATGTTGGGGGTATTATGTAGTGTACACCACACTTACTAGGCGAACCGATCAAGACTAACGGCGAGTTTGTTCTTGCGTTGGGTTTGCATGTACTGGCCGCTACGCCCGGACTTGGAGGACAATTTACGATTCCCCGCGAGCCCAGACGCGTTGTGGCCGTGGCCGTCTTGAGACGAACGGTCTTCTTCGGCACGCTCATCGATGCTTCCCTCTCGAAGCACGCCGTACAGGACAAGCGTGTCGAATGAGATTTGTATGTACCTGAAGAGCCAGGACCAAATCTGTAGGAGCGGCCTACAGGGTAGTAATCATAAAGGGGGAAATGGGCCCGGCGCATACACACAAAAACACACACGGGTTGCGTTTGTAGCGTTGCGTTTGTAGCATGATGACGAACTTTCATTTCATTCGTCAGCCGGTAAGCACCGTTGGTGCGAAATAGTAAGACACACGCGCACACGACGACAGAACACGGTGGGGAATGCCGGCAGAACCAGAGGCACCGTATTGGAGACTGGCGCTTCTAACGAAGCAGAAAAAGGCCTCCCGGTTGACGCGGGGCAAGACTGCTGACGACCTGAAAACTACGCCATCTAGGAGTGTACGAACACGATGTATGCGCAGCGATTTTACCCGCGACAAATAGCCGTTGGTTGACCGTTGGTTGAAGAGCTGCGCGTGCAGACAACCCTCGCGATGTAAGGTCGACATCGGACGCACCAAAACTAAGGAAAATACAACGTCGGGAAGATAACGGTTACGTCTCTCGCGTGTTCCCGATACGTCCAGCACAAAAAGGCCAACGGTTTCGTTCAATGGCAGACGGTTCTTCACCTGAACGACCGCAAAAGTTAGTTGACTGATCACTGCAGGATGGCGGGAAAACCTCCTAAGAATGAACAAAACGGCTGAGAACCTAACGCACAGTACATGGAACGGCAATGTTTCCCCGCGTTTCGTGTATACGTCTACAGGGCCACTCTGTTTGAAAATATATGGGCGATCCGGACAATCATCAATACCCCAATGGTCCCCGTATTTCCGAAAAATACAAGGACCATTCGGATACAATCGTTTATACTCCAACAATATTTCCAAACAACGTGTACGTCGAGAAAGACAGAGACGCTACAGCACTACCCCATGTGTTTGGGTCAGGTCTTTTCAACGAGGGCAACGAAACTCACTGCTTTCGATCGCCTTTGACAAACGCCGCGCCGCAGATTCCTAGCCCAAGGTTGACTGCAGTGCCAAGCAGAGTCAGGCAGAAGTAGTAGCGGATTCGGGGGTGAATCTTCCAGCACTCCTTCATCTCCTTCATCCTGAACATCGCCAGCCAGGACACGATCACCAACATGCAGATCCCGACGATAAACTCGAAGATGTAGATGGACATGATGACGAAGTCGTATTTGGCCTGAGTTTGCATGGGGAACCAGGCGTCAACCAGAAGTCGAGCGTTCAAAACCATGGCGACGCGATGAACACGACAGGCGCTTAGCGAAGCAACGAACAACCGTGGAACGATCCATGCGACTAGCTAAACGTGTTCCCAGACCCTGCACGTCGAGCGGCATACACAGGGGGACTGGCATTGCTCATGCGGACATGCGTGGCTGAGGCGTGATGGCATGATGGTGTACTACAGCCTCGACGGGACCCGCTGTCACAAAAGCTGCACTCACAGGCCTTATAAGGGAACGTTATGTCGAGTTCATTCGCCCCGTCCTCCGTACCTTCTGCGCGTTCAGAACGTCTGTTTTTCATCGAAGGGCTGCGCAAGACGAAACAGAGAGGGTTACCATGCCTTTCCCTGTTTCAGCCCAAGACATAAAAAAAACAAACAAACACGCAAGAGAAACAACGTAGAATACATAAAAAAACAAACACAAACACGCAAGAGAAACAACGTAGAATACTCTTCACTTCACATCAGCGCTTAAAGCACTTGTGCCGTTGCTATCACGCCTCAGCTAGGCTCGACGGGACCCTCTATCGGAAAAGATGCATTCACAGCCCTTGTAAGGGAGCCTCTGTCGAGTTTCTTCGTCACCTCCGCCCCCCTACCTTCTGCGCGCTCAGAACGTCTATTTTTCATCCCAGGGCTGCGCAAGACGAAGTGGAGAGGGCTAGTATGCCTTCCCTTCGTTCATCCCCCCCAAATAAACAAACACTACAGAATACTAGCAAGTCCCTTTCTACCATGAATGCATAGAATGCCAGGGATTGGTATATTTCTTCAAAAAGTTTGGTAAAACCTTTCTCGAAGCTCTTGGTTAAAAAGCCTCTCTCGAAGCCGAAGGTTTCGGGGGGGGTCGGACCGTTCTTGCGCTTCCGTTTACAGAGGCGGCGAAATCAAAACGCTAGGCATCCTGCTCGGGGTTAGGGGGCGCTGTACTGGTACAACGGCAGAGCACTAATACCCACCTGAGGCGGAGCCTAGAGAATAGAACCAGACGAAAAGAAACCCAAAGTGCCGTTGAAAACTACTTAACATTAGCATCACGGAACAAGGGAGAGAAATTATTGTAATATCAATCACCCTCGCGGGAGGAGGAACGCAAAACGTTCCCGCCGTTGGGGCAGGACTTGGCTTTGGGGCCGGGGCGTGTGGGACCACTAGAACAAGGAGGGAGGAAGACGGCGATGCTTTCTTTCCTGCTTGCTCAACGTCCCTTTGGGCAAACTGACCATGGATGCATGCATCATCGCTTTCGGAGGTACTGGCCAGATTCCACCATCACTTGGAAGAACACGGACGGTGAACTTGACCTCTCTCGAATGGAAAGAATGACGTTCGTTCGTTCGAATTCATAGCCAAAGTTGGTCTACGTACCGGGTCCGGGTTGGTGAACCAGAAGGCTGTTCCAAGGACGACTGTCGTCTCCCAAAGGGGCACCGTAGCGACCGCGAGAGACGCGGAGACTAGCAGCATTAAGAAAAGAAGCCTGGGCGAGCTGACCGTCTTAACACGAGTCATGGTCCGGTGAGACTTGAAGCGAATGATGGTGCCGCATGTCGTGCGCGAAGGGGGACCGGCACCATCGGGTAGAAAAAATACACGGGGGGGGGAGGGGAGGCAAACAGAAGACGAAACGAAACGCGTGGCACATGTATTATTAAGACGTTCCAACACAAAGAAAGCGGCAGTTTGAGACAAAACAGAGCAACTACATAGTACCATCAAGGGTCTTCGCGAAAAAACTTTCAAGACACATAGACCTACTAATCAAAAACCAGGATTCATGGGGGGTGGGGGGGTCATTTGGGGGGGGGGGGCGGGGACATATACCCATGTATCGCCGGGTTTCACGCCGAGGCGTTGGCGTCTATGGCGTCCGGCTTTCAAACCCTAACTCTAACCTTAACCCAAACCCAACCCGTAAGCTCTCTCTCGCAGAAGAGAACGCAGCGAGACACCGCGCGAGAACTCACAAGCAGGGGTCCGCATGAGTAAGCGGGTAGATGGATTAAGTCTAACGTAACCCTACAAGACCAAGGCTACAATACCAGTAGATTTGCGGGACTACGTCCCCTGTTGTGCAGTACTAGAAGCGGCAAGGGCAAGTAGTTTGCAAGGCAGGTGGTTGTGTTTGATGATGATGGTGGTTACCTGTGGGCTGCTTACGAAGCATTCGCGCACATCGTACTTACTTGTAGGTAGGGGCACTACCGCGTACGTAATTGTGTTCCTGTAGCACGGCTGGGTGAACGTGGGCCGGCTTCCGACGAGCGGATGGATGTGGAAGGGGCAACGAGAGCGAGGCACATGTTTGCAATCCATCTACAATAACCTCATGGTAACTTTTCCACGATTCATGGTGATTTTTCGAGTTTCTCCTCCCTCCGGGCCCCTCCGGGGGGGGGGGGGGGGGGGGGAAACAAATTTTTTCTTTCCCAAAAACTTTTAACAATTAACAAACCCCCCTTTTTAAAAAGAAAACCCTTCCCACCCCCAAAAAAAAAACCACCAAAAATTTTGAAACCTTTTATTTTTTTCCCCAAAACCCCAAAAAAATTTTTTGCAAAATAAAACCCCCCCCCCAAAGCCCCCTTTTCCCCCCAAAAAACCCCCAAAAATA